ATATATATATATATATATATATATATATATATATATATATATATATATATATATATATATATATATATATATATATATATATATATATATATATATATATATATATATATATATATATATATATATATATATATGTATATATGTATATATGTATATATGTATATATATATATGTATATATATATGTATATGTATGTATATATATTATATATATACATATATATATATATATACATATATATATATATATTTATATATATATATGTATACATATGTATACATATTAATATTCATCCAATGAATATTGTTATGTAGGTGGTTTCACTGAAATTGGACAATACACATCCAATGATATGTTTTGTAGATATAGGAGGTCCATTACAAACTTAACTTTGTTTGAGATCAAATTTAATTGGATCTGTGTTATGTATATTATCAGGTTTCTCTCAGAGATTAATCACTTATACTACTTCAAAATCAGATATGATGGATCACAGAGAAGATTCAAGATCACTTTTTCTAGGAGTAATTATGCAAAGTACTATGTCCAAAATATAGTATTATATGAATCATTTCTGAATTACAGATTTTATTATCTAAAAAAAAATATATATTTTGAATACATAGTGATGTGTTCTTGTAAAGAATGAATTTATAGACTATATTTACATTTGTCTTTTGTAAGTGTATTGGATATTTGACACTCAACAAAAAAAATTAAATCAACTAACTTAAATATATCAATAAGAAAAATATATAAAAGAAACAATAATGAAAAATACATGCAGAAATAGAAAGAAAAGTAATAAAATGATAATGTGATTTTAGTCAATTTAGGTGATGATAAGTGTGATCTCACATATGACCTTTCAACACATCAATTAAGTGTCGCACCTTATCGACACAACATATAATGACATTAACTACAATATCTGATGATTCAATTACCCTTTTATATCCAAGTAATATCTAATGATTCTGCATAAATGTTTTCATGAATTATCGCTCATTAATTCATGGAGATTACTAAATCCTATTATAAAATATCCTCAAATCATTATAATTCTTTATCATCGTTTTGCTAATTTTTCTACACTTAAGTTAAATAAGGCTTCCGAGATAGCTTCGTAGGATCTATTAATTTTATTTATCTCTTTAATATCAAACTTATAATCGATTTACGAATTAAGATTGATTTTGACTTCGTTGTCTAATATGCAATAACCGATAAATCTTATAGTATTAGATGCATTCAAATGTTCCAATACTATATTAATCTCATTAGAGTTTGATGATTAGAGATTTACGTTCATCCGAAGCGCCAACATGTCCACCCTCAAAGTAATTTTTGGAACGTAGCTGATTTTTCTATAAAATACCTAAAATTTGGGTATTTTCTAATCGATACCCCTTTTTGCTTTTTCTCAAACAGTGTTTTTAATTTTAAAAATACCCAAAATATCTTTAAAAAAAATTTTAGTTAAGTTTTCTCACCTACTTTTTTTTTTCTAGTTTTAAATTGTTATAGTACTTTTCATTTGATCCGTTTATATTATTTTTATTGAGATACTAAAAATATTATAAATAATATTGAAAAACAGTATAAGTAATATTACTCATAGATCATTACGATATTATATTTTTATGTTTGTAGTTGGTTTAGTTAAGGTTACGAGTCCATTTAGATCATTTACAGTATTTTCGAATAAGTTTTATAATATTTTTATTATTATGATCAAAATATTATAATAAATTAAATTTTCATTTCTATCTAGGTAATGTTATTCTTGGACTATTATAAATACATATTTGAATCATAACATGATATATCAAATAGTTTATAATATATTTTGATTTTATTTGATTCATTTATATTATTTTTAAATAGGTTTTACAATAATTTTATTGTGGTAAGCAAGATATTATAACAGGCCAAAAATAAATTTTTTTTAGCAATCTAAACATTTTTCAAATTATATATATATATATATATATATATATATATATATACTGTTTTGAAAAGTGGTTCTAAAAGATGAAATATACTGACTGACGGTGATTGCACCCGCAAGGGCTGGGCAGCTGATACGTACGACGATCGTGGTCGATGCCCTCTACCTGCCCATAACAAGCGAAGCGGCAATGGCCAAGTCCTGCAAAGGCCTCGCGATGGAGCTCGTCAAATGCCTCAGCGAATCCGATTGCGTTAAGGTGTGTCCATCTGGATCAAAACCCTACCTCGGTTTTTCCTTGGATTTGCTTTTATTTTTGGCATAAAAAGGGCGCCTTGCTAAGAAGATGCAACACCCGAGGTCACATCAACAGGGAAGAAAATGGAAAAGGGTAAAGCGCTTGAATCCGCCCTTTTGTTATTCGTGGTCGATATATTTTTACCGTCTATTACTGTTCTGGACATTGTTCGAGTTCTTTCAAAGTTCGATCTTGAAGAGGGGGAAGAAAAAGGTAGCCTCGTGTTATGTGCTTGAACCCTGAAGGACGGGGTTTAATCTTTAAATTGGGTTCTTATGAAGTTTGCTAAGTCATCTATCTGTATTGTGTTCACAGCAAGCGATTTCATAGGATTATACACAAAGGGTCGTGAAATTCATTTTGACCCCGTTGAACCAATAGACTAAGATTCAAGATTCCGGTGGAAAGTTGGTTTTGGTTGATTAAAGTTGCAAATTTGCAAGGTGTTAAGACTTCATCTAAATAGCAGAGTCTTCTATCTGATTTATTGTTCGACATTGGTTCTAAAATTTTCTAGGCAGAATACTAGAAAGGTAATGCTTTGTGAACTAGGGTAAGATTTAGTCTTGATGAAACTGTCCCTTCTAATCTCATTGTTGGGGATTTTGTGGATGCACTCAAAATCCAATTATAGGTTGTTGATTTTGGAAACATATGGTGATTCTTGTAGTACTAAGGGGAAGTTGCAGTTTGAGGTAGATATTTAGAATCCGACAAATAAAATCAGCGTTCCTATTTGAGCTACTGTGGTTAGAACAAAATGATTTACACTATAGATCTCTGACATTGATGTTTCCCAACTTGTTTTTTATGATTATGCTGGAATTTGTTGCATGCCAAGGTCTAGGAATTCAAAGCAATATTATGTGTTATAAGATGTCAGACACATATCCTGCTTCCCAGAGACCATTAATGGGCAAAGCATGCATATAAATAATATGACTATTTAGAAAGTGCAGTTGGTGAGTTTAATTACATGACATAACCATAAGAAAAATAGATAAATAAAAGTTTAATGAAGCAGTAGCTTATAAGATTATATTTGAATGTATCAGTTTTTAAACTTGTGAGCTCATAAATGACCTATTAGCAATTTTAATAAGTATGCATGTCTGTCTACTTAACAAAGCTGTACAATCAAATAATTAAGATCAAAGAATGAGTGACTGGAAAGTTTTGTTGCAAAATTTGTTTCTACACCACTGTAATGTTCAACAGATATTCTTATTTGTAAAAAAACCTATCTAGCTTTCTAGATTTAAAGGTAAGGCTGCGTACATGGAAACGGCCTTTTAAATATTTAAAGGTAACTGCATACACGGATGTTCACCCTTTGTGACTTGGGAGATTAGGATTCGAGTCACGAAAACAACCTCCTTAAATATTTAAAAGGTAAAGCTGCGTACATTGACACTCCCTAGACCCCCCGCAATGGCGGGAGCCTCGTGTACTGGGTATGCCTTTTTTAGTTTTCTAGATTGCAAAAGTCAATCACAGTTGAATACTTGAATTGAAATAACTTTGTCCGTATTGAGTAACATGTCAAGTTGTATACTACACTGGAATAAATCTCTTTGTGCTTCTAGAAAACACTTGGGTAATATCTCTAAGCTAAGATTATTATGTCACATTTTTATTGTTTTATATTTTAATAATAAAGATTAATTCATACAGAAACTAGGAACCTGGACATGACATGGTAATATCATTAATAGATCAGTGCTGGAGGTTTTACTTGGGATTGCATGGTAAAGTTTTGATCAGGCATAGTTCTAAACTATTTTTGAAATGAGTCAATTTCTTAATGTTCAAGCATCCCACCTACCAACTACATCTGTCATCAAATCGGGAAGCGATATTTGATTGTTATTTTGTTGATCGCTCGACTATCCACATATATCCTTTATGATCTATCTTTCTTAGGGGTTAAAAAGGTAGGGATGGTTTAAGGACTGAGGCTCTGTCATATAAAGCCTTTAGCCAAAAGTTTTTCAACTTGTTTGTTTAACTCGACTCTCTCCTTAGGATTCATTCTATAATGTGGGAGATTAGGAGCTGCGATCGTTGGAGAATGTTAATGGCATGTTGGATTTTCACTAGGTAATTCCGAGGGTATGACATTAGAAAATTCATCTAATAATGACTTAACTTTAGGAGTTAGGTCAGGAATAGTGCAAGGGAATTTCTCTAGCAATGATAGCTACACAAAATTTGTTGTTTAGGCTCTTTATTTCAAAATATTTAGGATCCAGTAAGTGGAGTCCCTTGGTGGTTAGGGCTTGTGGAAGAGACTTAGGAGTTCTTGATTTAACCTGTTTTGATAGTTTTGGTCTCAGGATGATGTTTTTGCCTTTGTATGAAAAGGCATAGGTATTTTCTCTTTCATGATTGGTAACATCAAGGTCATATAGCCAAGACCGACCTAAAAGAATATGGGCAACGTCCATTAATAGGACGTCATAGTAAATCTCATCCTGGTAATCGCTCATTTTGATTGGTACTAGTCAAGTAGGTATTTCTCGGTCATGGGTAAAGTGGTTTTATCAACCTTGGCTACTTCGCATGGGGTCGGATATGATTTTACCGTGAGGTTTAGTCTCTTGATAGTAGATTTTGAGACTACGTTCATAGTGCTACCCTCATCAATGACCAATTTACAATTTCTTTTCTCGTTTTGGATAAAAGTATGGAAGATACTTGTCCTCTTCCATTCATTGGAATCACTAGCAGTAGAGAGAATAATGCAGACAACATTAACATGGGCATCTTCAATTTCTAGTTTGTTTTTGTTACCTGCGTAGGCTTCGTGTTCAACTACTTGGTCTACTTCCTCGATTTGATTCTTTGGTTTTTGTTTTAAGGTAAAGGTACGTTGAGGACAACAAGAGGTAATGTGACTTTTATTATGGCAATAATGATGCTGGATTGAAGACGAATTAGTTTGAGAACTAGTAGTTGAACGAGTTGGACGATTTATGGTTGAGCCAGGATTGTTGTTAGTAGTGGAGATTTTTGACTTGACAAAGCCACTACTTAGGGTAGATTGGGTAATAGTTCTATTGTTGGGAGTCTAAGAAGATGCTTGACGAATTGGATAAAGTTTAATGTACTTCTCAATCTCAAGGGCTCTTTGGGAAGCTTCCTCCATGGTGTCAGGAAAACTAAGGGAGACTTCTCGTTGGATGTCAAACCTCAACCCATCAACAAATCTTCGGACAATGATGATTTGGCCATCTTCTATTTCACACCTAAGTAAAAGTTTATCAAATCAGGCCAAATACTATGCCACACTAGAATTCAAGTGTTTAAGGTTTAATTGTTGTTTAATAGTTGGCTTCAGAAGTAGGTTGGTAAATATTTTTCCTTAAGATTTTATTTCATGACTTTCTATTAAGTGATGGGTGGCTCTCAATGGTGTTCAAGACTACGTTGGATATGTTGCCAATATTTCCTGACGGACTACTAGTTTTATTTTTGCAAATCATACATGTTTAATATTAATCATTCCATACCACTCAAAGTAGTCTTCCATGCTATCTTACTAGTTAACAAACACATTTGGTTTCAACCTACCATTAAAGTCCGACATATCCACTTTGACTCTTCTAGCCATTTCCCTATATTGTCAGCAAACTGAACTTGTTGGCCCAATTACTCAGGTTTATGAATTTCTAATAGGTTATGGGAATTCATCAGCTTTTTTTTTCTCACTTTTTGTTTTGGTTATTTTTTTTTGGGACAACTTTTAAGGGTTCAAATTTTAGTGGTATTGTAGTTGTAGCTAAAGGGGAGAGAGAGGATAATAAATAGAAAAAGAAAGAGGAAAAACTAAAGGGGAGAAGCGATGAAAACCACGATTTAATGAAATATGCGATTTTTTTCTTTCGGACAAAAATATTAGTAAAGTTTTCAAAAATTTACCCATCACTGAGAGCTATGTGGTCCACCGTTTCTGTAGAGATAGTTATCCCAAAGTCTAATTCCACACGTAAGGGATTGATGTTAGAGGTGCAAGGATTTTTTAGTGTTAATTGAAACTTTTGCTACTAGTTGGAACCTAATGGGGTATAGGACAGGTTTCTGGATGGGCTCTGATACCAAACTAATATACAATAGAGTAGGGAAGGAGAGAGAAAGAGAGGGGAAGAGGAAGAAAGTGAAGTGTGAGATAAGAGAGGAGAGTAAGAGACCAGTGATTTAAAAAGCGATAGACGCTCATTCGGGCGAAGCAAGGCGCTCTGAAATATAAAAAAATATAAAAATATATAATATAATTGATAAATATGATTATTTAAATAAAAATATGATATTAAATTAAAAATATCTGAAGTACCAAATCACATTATCCATCTTCTAATAACAAAAATATCAAAAGACTCAAAATAATAAAGTTTTACATAAAATTCATTTATCATTATATTCAACATCGTCATTTTCAAGTGTATCATTATCCTTTTCTTTCTCTTGTTTTTCTTTATCAAAATATGTTTTATCCTTTTTAATAATAGTAGGAGATGAGCCTGAGGCTTTTGCACTCGTTTTTCCTTTCGTCGTCTGTCTTGTATATGTTTATAATTATCTAACACCGGAAGCTCTTACCACATCTCTCCATGTCAGGCTGTCATCTTCAAATATAAGCTCGTCTTTGGCATCTTGTAAATTTGCACTTATTTCTCCCACCAACCACTTATTTGAATCAATGTCTTGTAATGAGATTGGATCAATTTTATTTCGTAAATCATGACAAGCCTTTAATGCTTGATTATACTTTATATAAACAAGATCATTTAATTGTTGATGCTCCAACCGATTTCTTCTCTTTAAGTGAATTTGTCATGTCATATAATTTGAAAACATATTAATACATCTATCTAAAAAATAATACATTAATTGAAACAAAATTATTCTATGACCCTTACATGCTCAAAGACACTTCAGTTTCGCTCACAACCCATAGCACTATATGTCAAACTAAAAATTTTGATAGCAAATTGTTACAAGTTTAGGATGGAATTTTCAAATAGACTCTACCATTCAGCTACAAAATTTATTTTATTATTAGCAATAACATAATAACATACTATAGATAAAATTAATTATATTAATTTATTAATACCTAGGGATGTAGTTGTCCTAGTTGGAACTGCCATTGAAATTCTAAAAAAACCATCGGTATTCTTATATGAAGATAATTTATGTATGATCGTATCTTGTATCTCAAGACTTGGAACTAATCTTGCAATGCACTAATATAACTCATTTAGAACTTTTGCATCAAACCCAACGGAGGTGATCTTATAGGTTCACATAATGTCCCGCTGCATATAATTGACGATGAAGTTGACAATTCCATCTTTCGTCAATGATTACAAATATTTTCTTATACTTTTCTTTATTTTCATTAAAAGACCTTTGAATCGTCTTCTTTGTTCTATCCAGTCTCATAAATATATCCTATTGCTGGTTTGTTTTCATTATTCATTAATTGAATGACACGAACAAAAGAGCCCATTACTTTTAATATATAAACTACAAGATTTCAAAAGGATGACATTAAGATGAAATCATTAGCCCTCTTGCCTTTCGCTTTTTTTGCCCATTTGCTTGTCATTTATTTCTCCGAGGTAAATATATTTCTCAAGTTATGTTTTTTACGATGCATACTCTGTGATGTCAAAAAGGAAGTAACAAATCGGGTGACACCATATCTCACTAATTCCTTGTTGCTTGTGAATTCTCTCATCATATTCAAAGCCCCAATATGATTATAGAGAAATCCAACAATAAATATTACCCTTTCTAAAATTTTCTTAATTTCAGAAATTTTTTAAAAATTCTCCAACATTAAATCAATGTAATATGGCGCACATGGAATTCAATATAAGTGTTATTTTTTTGCTTCAAGTAATTTACCTAAGACAAAGAATAACAAAATTGATAAAATTTAGGAGTTTAATACATCTTTCATTGAACTGGAGACAAAGTAATTAATAAATTAATAAATTTAAAAGATAAATCTTACTAGCTAATATATAGTTGCATCCATTGTCAGTTATAACTTGGATGATATTTTGTTCACTAATTTCTTTCATAAACTTGTCAAGCAAATCATATACCTTTTCTTTATATTTCACAAAAGATTATGTATCTATTAACTTCATAAACATGGTTCCTAAAGAACAGTTAATCATAAAATTAATTATACTCCTATGTTGCCTATTGGTCCAAACATTTGACGTAATAGAGTAACCATGCTTTACCTATGATTCTTTATGACCCTTTAATAAGTCATTCGTATAATCCAATTTTTTTTTCAATAATGGAATTCGCATCTCATAATAACTTGGAGATCTTAATCCCGCAACATATCTTCCAACAGTTTCAATCATCTCCTTAAAACTATCTAAACTAGTTGTACTAAGGGGAAGGCCAACCTGATAGAAGAAGCGAGCAATGTGCTGAATTGTTCTTCCTCTTGTTTCCTTACACAAGCATCACTTATATTTGTTTGTCTTAATTTTGCTCCTACTTACCCTTGTTGCTTCTGTGATCCTTGAGACATATATAAGTCCATCGATCTTTTTTTACTCTTCTTAACAACCAATGCTTCTTTTCGTTTTCTGACACATATTTTTTTCCCACTTAGATTGACACTTTCAGAATCATCATCATCATCATCTCTGATATGTTCAAACACTATTCTCTGGTAAAATCTCATAAGATTTATTCTTTTGCATCTTTTTTTCATTCATATAAGCTAACAGCTTTTCTTTTATATCAAGTGGACACTTCTTGCAAGCTGATGCATTCTTGAAATTTCCTACTAGATGTTTTTTTGCACGAAAAATACCACATCTAGTAGTTTTATTATAGAAGATGCAAGTAACTGTATTAGGATCATTAGGATCCTTTAGATAATTGTATTTCCATGCAGGATCCTTTCTTGAATTTTTTGAAGAATCTACTGAATTGCTTTGTATACACTTGTCATTTATCCTGAAACCCTAATAATAATTTTAAATAAACAAAGATTAGTAGTGTTAAAATCTATATTATCAATCTAGTAAATAAAGATTACTTTGTACAGTAATTAATAATCTACTGTTAACAATATACTATTTACTGTTAACAGTAGTTCGAGGGCGAGAAAAGAACTATTTATTAACAGTAAAGGGATAAAGTTGTCACCGATAGTGGAAAGTGGGAAGGAGAGGCAGCGTTGAGAAGTTGGTAGCAACAACGGAGGATTAGTTTAAGACAATTGTGGTAGCACTGCGAACGACAACAGTGGCAGAAGCTGCAGATAGCAGCAACGACGGAAGCTGCAGATAGCAGCAGCGACAGCGATGAAAGTTCCAAAGGGCGTCCGTCGATGGCGAAGGAACCTACGGTCCTCTCCCTCAACAAGTTGAGGAACTACATATGGAGTGGCGGCGGAAGGAAGTTACAGGCTCTTGCGAGGCTGTCGGACCCACCCGTTGGCGACAGAGGAAGGCTTGGTCCGCTGCGTCTACGGTGGAGGCAACGACAGAAAACATCGGCGGTAGAGGCAGAAGCAACGCTAGGGTTGGCTCGGGGTCATGCGAGCGTGAAGTGTCGCTTTTGAGGGTAAGTAACTGTGTTAGCTACTGTTGAACCGAACCAGAATTTAAGTCCGGTTCGGTTGCCTTATTTGAACTGGGCACTCGCCAGGAGCGCTCGACGCCTGGATTCGGGCGAGCGAGGCAGCGCGCTTCATTGAAGCGCGTTACCTGGTCCACGCACATGGTGCTTGGGCCTCTCCTCGCTTGGTCCGAATGCTTAGGCGAGCGCCCAAGTGCCTATTTAAATCACTATTTTCATTCAGATCTGAAGTAGTTGATCCATTGACAATCTCCACTATTTATAGGAGTTTAGGAGCCTTGGTACAATTAATGAAGACAATGATTTCTAAAAGTAATCTCCTAGAAAATTAGTATATTTTTTAGAAATCCAAAATGACTTCTAGGATACTTAAATAGTAAATGAGTGCACTTAATACAAAAGGAGTCCCTAGAAAAACCTAAAGACTTTTTTCTAATTTTCAGCAAAACTCTTAGAATTTTTAGGCCAACTAATAGTTGACTTTTTGTTGATTTCTTTGCCTAGAATAAAATTTGTTGAAATCCTTTGTAAAACTAGATGGTTCTCCATCACTTGTATTCCCTTTCAAATGTGAGTGGTGTTGATAACAAACTCTTATACTTGTATTCCCAATTTTAGTAAATTATACAGCGGTACTTAGGAAAGAAGCAAATTGTCCATCAGTCTTTAGATGTTCTGATTCCATCAAAGATATCGTGCTCAATAAGCTAACACATTGTATCCTGGAAATCTTATACTTGTATTCCCCTTCAAATGTGAGTGGTATTGATAATGAATTTTCTTACCATTGTAGTAAACTATACAGCGATACTTAGGAAAGAAGCAAGTTGTCTTTAGATGTTCTGATTCCATCAAAGTTATCCTGCTCAATAAGCTAACATGTGTTGTGTTCACATGAATGTTATCAGGTGGGTATGCATTGTTTTAACTCAGAGATGAGACTTTATATAAGCTTTAAGGAACCATGTCCATGACTTGCTTTAGTGGCATTCTAATTTAGAACCAAAAGTTTAGTGAAAAATTGCATGGCTAAAAATGGTCTTGTAGTGGAGAAATGGTAACTGATTTCCAGATTACAAAGAAGCTTGCAGTATTTGAGGTTAAAGAGAACATTTTGCTATGTTCATATGATGTTTTAATAGACAGAAGAATTCTTGTTTATTTTCATGATCTCAATAGGCTATCATTTTTAGTATTCAAGAACTTGATGCCTATATGCTGTTGGTTTGTTAACTCGACCATCTTTCTGATATCAAATAATTATTCTCGTGTGGGTTGAATTATTCAGGTTGATAAGCGATCATACAGGGAATGTGCTGGAGAAAAGGTGCCTTCCATATCGAGTGAATGTGTAGGCCTTAGGGAGACATACTTTAACTGCAAGAGAGGCCAGGCATGTTATACTGGAAACCTGATACTTGTTCAATAGTTCAAATTCTAAAATGAAAATTGTATCATTATGTCTGATAGTTCAAATTTGTACCGATAAAGTTGTCCAATTTTTTGCATTACTTGCACGACCACCAAGTAAATTCATTCGCTGACCTTAAATTAAATTCTTCTGTAATGAATAGAAGTTCACACCTCATCTTCTCCTCATCTATGTAATTTTTCTAGTTTAAAGTTGTTGAAGTTTAGCTCTATGGTTATTTTGCTAAAATTGTGACACCTGCCTGTCTGTTCATTAATCTTAGTTGTTGACTCTAAGTTGTTCTATGGCTTAAAGTTTCCTTGTGCATGACTATCACTTTAGAGCATCAATTTCAGGTTTGACTAATAGTCATAAAATCAACAGCACCATTCATCTCAACTGACAAGTTGGACTCCATATCTAGAAGGCTTTTTAGATAAATGATTTTGATTTTCATTCTTTTGGTTTACATCTAGCAATCAAGGAAATTGGTTATTAATAATTGATCATGGAAGTTGTTTATTTGTAGGCTGCAAGGTCCTCATATTCTTTCTTATTTGAACTATATGACTTGTTCTGCTGTATCAATCATATTGATGCAGAACACATTTCTCCTAAGCAAAATCAGTTACTAGGACAGTTTTTGCTATAATGTGAAGAAAAACAACCCCACCATATCCAATGACATAGTTCAATGGTGATTTAGGAAACATCATATCTACATATACTGAGTCCCTTAATCTTGCTAAACACCAAGTCACCACCTGTTAGTAAAACCTAGGGTTTATAGAGTTGCCCTAAGATGTGATTTTGGTGGATTAGTCAGTGATATATCTCGTACCCTTACTATAGCTGTTTGACAGGAGCTGTATAATTGAGTTATCATAATCATTATTTTGGATGATAGATGTCTCCTTCCTGCTTATGAATTTTAAATGACTTGTTTTATGGTAATTTCAGGTTGACATGAGAGCACGGATACGCGGCAACAAAGGTTACTAGATCCTAAAATTTTCCTTTGTTATGATTCAAAATGGTGGGTTGAGCAAAGTAACCAATCTATAAATTGTATTTAGTCGAAGATTTTGCATTTGATCTAGTTACTACTATATAGATTACTTTAACTAAAATCCTGTACGATTACACCCCATACATATCATCAGGTCTTGCGTGAGGTGTATTGCAATGTAGAATATTACTTTGTTATGTTGTTTAAGTGGAGCTCTTTCGCTTGCAAGTTTCAGTCACTTCATGCTCGGCACAAATATCAACCAATGGCTTCACAATGTGTTGGTGTGAGGATGTCAAATTGCATTCCCATGACAAGACATAAAGAATGCTTCTTATGGGCAGTAAAAATCACAATGAAATGAGAATGTGAGAGATGTCAAGGTTCCCTTCTAGCTCACAATGACTTATTATTGTTTATATATATGTTTTTCTTAAAAGTCTAACTTTGTTTATATCTACACGTAGAATGTGACTTAGATAATTCAAATATCTCAATCTTGTCATACTTTTTTCTCAATTAGATTCTAAATAAATTAGAATTTTTATATATTTTTAGTTTATATGTTTATGTATGTATATTAACAACCATCGTTATTGTCGTTAATTCATAGGAAATACTTATCACTAACCGGTAGTTACCCAATCGCTCACCTGCTGTGTGATTGATCATATCGATGGCTTCAGTGGTCGAACGTACCACTGGGTAGATACTAATTCGTCGGTATTTGTGGCGAAAACTACGCGGCCTGTGCGTTGCCGAGCCTCGACGCGTATCACTTGCAATGCCTGGATCCCACGACATCTACAGTGTTTAAATGCACCTTCTTTGAAATACCCGACGTTCAACCTTCATCTTCACACGTTGGGACCCAGTGGGCTCCACTATTCTGGTCCAATAACAGAAGGGGTACAAGATAAGCTCATTCAGGAAAAATATTGCCTCTGCAACGTCGTTCTTTCTCCAAGGACGGCAAGGAAAGAAAATTCCTTTTGGACACGCCAAAAGAATCCCAACCTGATACCCAGATGATCCAAACCGTCAATATCATACTGATCACCGATCCTGGGCCTCTTTCTGCGGTCAAGTTAACGTGCGGAGGTTGTGAGTATCTAAAAGCATTGCTCAAGAAACCAAAGAGAGTTCTGCATAATTGCCAAAACACGGTCGTCTCCTTTAATTTCCGGACCGACGCCGCTCCTTTCGGTGTCTTGTCGTGCTCGCTGTACTCCCATCGCCTCGCCTGCATCGCTTCTTCGTCCTCCGCCAAGGTATGATCTCAGATCTGCGCTTCATCTCCTTTCGTTTGTCTAAAGATCCGATCGTTTTTCCGTCCTCGTCCATGGCGTCAATTTAGGAGTGGTAGATCGGTCCTCTCTCCGTCCGATCTCAGTTTTTGAATCCCTTGAATCGGACCATCTTTATACGTGCATTTTCTTAGTAAGGGGTGATGATCTCTTGAAGCGAAGATTTAGCTTTGACTTCCAAGGATCTTTCTTTAGTGCCCTTCGGCGATGCAGTACGTTGAGCTCTCTCTAACTGTTAGATGCCAGATTCTTGCTAGAATCTGGCGTTTAGTGATAGGTCGACTAGCTGACTTGAGATCATTCAAGATTCCGATCGAAGTTGAACATTCTCCGCGATCTACACTTTATATTTCTTGTGTGTGCGAAAAGTTGATTTCTTGTGGCATGTCACTGTTATTTATGTTGATCTGTGTTGCTAACACTTTTCTCGGCTAGGTCAGGCATTTTATTGCTAAATCTGAAATCACTAATTTGGATTGGAGAACTTTTCACATAATTATTGTATTGATGTTCGATGATTGGGTAACATCCAAGGCTGGTTTTATTAGGGATGGCATCCTCTGATGAACCAGAAGCCGTTGAAAGGAAATATAAGAAGGAAGATAAGAAGGAAGATGAGCACGAAGAGAAGGAAGGTTTCATCGAGAAAGTCAAGGACTTTATTCATGATATAGGTGAGAAGATCGAAGAGGCAATAGGTTTTGGAAAGCCGACTGCTGATGTCAGTGGAGTCCATCTTCCATGTATCAATCTACATAAGGCAGAAATTGTCATCGATGTGCTGATTAAGAACCCTAATCCCATTCCGATACCTCTTGTAGACATAGATTACTTAATAGAAAGTGATGGAAGGAAGCTTGTCTCTGGACTAATCCCTGATGCTGGAACGGTCCATGCGCATGGATCAGAGACTGTCAAGATACCGGTAACTTTGATTTATGATGATATTAAGAACACTTACCATGACATCAAGCCTGGAAGTATCATTCCTTACAGAATCAGGGTTGCTCTCATCGTGGATGTGCCAATTTTCGGAAGGCTTACCCTGCCTCTAGAGAAGACTGGCGAGATCCCCATACCGTACAAGCCAGACGTTGATATTGAGAAGATACGCTTTGAAAAGTTCTCATTCGAAGAAACAATAGCAAACCTCCACCTGAAATTAGAGAACAAGAATGACTTTGACCTTGGACTAAATGCACTGGACTATGAAGTATGGCTCTCTGATGTTAGTATTGGAACTGCAGAGCTCACCAAATCTACAAATATAGAAAAAAATGGAATCACTAAGATGGAGATTCCTATTTCTTTCCGGCCCAAGGACTTTGGTTCTGCACTCTGGGATATGATCAGGGGAAGGGGAATTGGTTATACCATGAAAGGGAATATTGACGTGGACACTCCATTTGGAAACATGAAGTTACCCATCAGCAAAGAAGGTGGAACAACCCGCCTTAAGAAAGGTAAAAATGGAGAAGATGACGACGATGACGACGATGAGGTATGGTAATTCTGTTTTCTTTAGTATCACCTACTGCGATGTTTATTAGACTTTCTGCAGACACATATTCTTTTCTCCGAATGCCTTTAAATGTATCTTGGTGGAGCACATTGGTTTGCTAAGTAAAGCTAGATATTCTCTATAGAAACCACCTGCATTTGTAACCTCATCTACTTTGAAATTTCCAAACTGCCATGGTTTAGTGTTGATCAACTGAGTGTGTGTGTTATTCAGCTATGGTTAAAAACATTCCAGGGCACTGTCACATGTAAATATTAAAAAGATTTGGGTTTTGTCATGCGTGAAGCTTAACCTCTTCTTGAAGATAGATATTGATGTTTGGTAATCATTAAATCAGTATCGAGTTAGAATATTGCAAAAAAAAATATCAGTGGATTTATTGCTAAGTTATAGACATTAAAAGTAGACATATTGGCACATGTAATGCAAATCACTATAGGCAGACTGATGATATAGTGCCATCTGAATCAGCTGAACCTGCATCATCTGAATCAGCATAAACCAAATGAAGGGGTAAAGTAGGTTTGTGGCAGCTAGTTATGCAAATTGCAAAATTTGAGCACAACAGTCATGGATTTGGGCTGAAGCGAACCTGTTCGAATATCAAGTACTAGACCCAGAACATCCCTCCGGTATAAGAAAAAAGAGGAGAGAAATGGAGCTTGCATTTATTCCTGGTGAAAGAAACAAATAATACACTAAAATTCTCTAGGAAAATTGTGTTAACAAAATTTTGGATTCTTTCCAACAAATGCTTAAGAGACAAAAAAAAAAAAAAGACAATGGATAAAAGTGATCCCAATCTTCTATATTCACTGAAAGTAGAGTTAAATTTCTCATGCAAGAAATGGTGGATGAATGCAAGTATATTTCACAGTTTTGTGGTTTCTTTAACAAGCCATTTGAAATAATACTTGTTTCTAATCAGATTTTTAATTCTTTGCAAATGTGTTTATGCAGGATTAAGCAGCTGGAACTTGAGTTAATAAAGTCAAAAGGGAATTCAGACAGCTTGCTAAGACATGGAATCTTTTTGTGCCTGTCAATAATTTTAATGGATTGTTTATGTAAGACCATAATACTATCTTTGCCATTGATGGCATCTTGAGTAAGCATGGGGACAATATTCTGGACCTGAACTATATATCGTCTGTTCTAATAGTTTTCCCATATGTCTTGTGCTGCCTTTGAGATAGTATGATCCATATTATCTTATAATTTGTAGACTGCTGTTTGAAAAGTGTGTGTACTATATTTAATGGTTCCAAGGTCTCAAGTTTTGATCTGAGATCCATATCATAGGGATAAAAATACAGGTACTCAACAGGCATGATTTATGGAGATGATGACAGCTTTGGCCTGGCACTGTATCTGTACAAGCATACTTCAGATCATGACAGAAGCATCTCACAAGGTAAAAGTCAAGGCCAGAAAGGAGTCAACTCTACAAAGTGAAACCAATCTTATCTCTTTGCAAAAGAAACTGATACTTCATCACCAGAATCAAAGCAAGTCTGTGCTTGTGGACTAACATGCAGTGGATCATCGTGGAATATATCGACTGCTCCTTTTTAACTGCAGATGGATTCTCATCACCATATCCATCAGAGCTACAAAAAAATAAAGTGAAGGATGCGTCCTCACCCCCACAAGAAAGAATCCGACACAGTCCAACAAAGAGACATCCTATCCATTTCAGCATCAGTCGATTCCTCTCATCTCTTCATCCAGATATGTGGATACAAGCAGTAGTGATGACATTCTTGTGAAGGGCTTGACATTAGATGATAAGATGGTAACTATCCTTGATGTTTCTTACACAGGTTTGGGTAACACCCAGAAACATGAAAAGACACAGGTTTGCTTTAGTGGTTCTTAACATTAAAACACAATTCATGCATGTAATTTGCTCAAAGGATTTGGCTTCATAAACAATGACAAATCATATTAGGATATAGAATAATTAGTAGGTTTCAACTTCTATTGATTCCCTCTCCAATAGGAATGATTGACACTTAGTTTATTCTCCTTGGGTGCCACATCACCCTCGAAAATTTTACAGGCGTTTGATAGCTGACTCAACAAGTCATACATAATTTTGGTGCAAACCTATTTTGAATTTTTATAATCATATTAGGATTTAATTGATTTAGTGATGATTAACAACAGATTTTTCTTATTCAAATGCTTTATAACCATTGTGTCAAACTCAAAATTTGCAACAAACACATCACTCTAGAAAATATCACGGGACTCATTATGCAACACATTAATGTCTACTCAGATCTATATGAATTCTACAAAATTATATTGGAATTTTAGTTATTTAATAGGTCAGAAAAATCTTATGAAGACCAAATAAAAACAAAATCGGACACACATATATCATGTATAAATAAATAAACATTTTAGTTAATATCTTTTACTTTATTGTTAACACAAAAAAATTAATTGACATCAATAATTTTCAATAATGTAGTTCTATATGGGCTTTGGTCATTTTCATTCTTTTCATCGAATACTCTTTTCAGCTTCAACTTTTGAACTCTTTTTCAATAATTTCTTAAATATTTATCTATATTTTTAATATTAAAATATTAAATAAAAAACAACCCAACTCAAACAGTCAAAAGATTACAACTTTATTATTGTTATTGAATGAATGATATAAGTGACCATAAAAGATAAATAAAATGATTGATGAGAATAATAAGGATATATTAGTTATTTATAATTTTTTTATTTTATAAAATCAAATTATTTATTGGTGGTTAAATAAGGTTTATTGGAAGGATGTTGTGACACATACACACACACACACACACACACACACACACACACACATATATATATATATATATATATATATTAAAAGTTGTATAAAAGGGCAGATATTGTATTTATAGAGTTGTGAAAGGATAAATATGTGAAAACACTAAAAAGAAACTTCCCCACTGTGCTATAAATACACAGCTTCTTCAGTGGCGCCATGTATCGTTTCTCTCCCATTTCTGTCCTCCGGCAGGCACATCTCCAAGCCTCTCTCTCTCTCTCGTTATCTGTCCCTCCCCCGGCCCCTATTCCTCGCCATGGATGAAGAATACGACGTGATCGTCCTCGGAACCGGTCTCAAGGAGTGCATCCTCAGCGGCCTGCTCTCCGTGGATGGCTTCAAGGTCTACTCTCAGCCCTCCCATCTCCTGTGTTCTTTATGGGTTAAATCGATCGTCCGAGCAAAACTCTTTCGTAGGTTCCCAATATTCTTGGTTTGATTTGGTCGGTGGCTCATTGCTTTTTGCTCTGTTGTCGTTAGGAAGACGGATTTACCTCGAAAGATTGGATCTTTATGTGTCATACTGAGTGGGCTGCTTCTTTGTTTGATCTCAACTTCGTTTACTTCTTTGCCTTTATTTGTTTAAATGGAATTCCGGATCAGTACGCCCTTCAGGGTGCCATGACTCGAACTTTAATCTTGAGGAATGAGGAAAGAGGTGTTGTTGGAGTAATCTGCTGGGAAGCTTGAGAGCAAAAGGTTGTGTGTTAAAAGCTTATAAATATATCAAACAATTTCCTAATAGTTTAACCTTTTGGACGACCTCTGGTTACCGAACTCTAATATTCTTCTCTAAAGCCTTTTGATGCTATTGGGTATATCATCAACAATCATTTTTTCATCATCAAGCTTTAGAAAAAGGAAGAAAAGTGTATTCTATATTGTTTCAATCTATACCCTCCTCTAGCATGGAGATCTTTTAAAGATGTGCAGTGTTTTGAAAACTTCTATTTTGTCATAACTTGCTACCATCTGAGATTATGGTCAAATTAATTTATGTTCTGTCCGAAAATTTCCATACCTTCACCAACAATCTGGCACATGCAGTTTTTACTTAGTTTCCGAATTTATTTCTCTTTAAAGCATTCACAGCTGATCTGCCATATGACATTCCATTCATCGTTTTTAATCTTGATTGGAATTAGTTATTAACTATGTTATCTTCTGGCTTTCTTAATATATTTAATAATAACTATGTTCTATTGTTGATAAAATTTTAATTTGCTAGACCGTTTAATTAATCAAAGAGATAAAGGGTGTGGATCCTTTCTTTGACTTTCTTTTTTGGAAACTCGTTCATACTCCATAATTTGTTCTTTTGTGGTCCATGTGGCATCATGTCTTGGAAATGAAATATTTTATCTGGGTAATGTGAGATGCCTCGACAAACAATTGCTGAAATTAAGTTTATAATATTCATCATTTTCAATCAGATGCAAAGAAAGGAATGAGGCAAAAGTCCCATTTTCTCTTGTAGGGATAGTTATTTTCAGTTGTGAATGGCGTAAACTTGATAGTAATGTTTATTGATTTGCATTTTTGCCTCAAAATAAGTCTACTTTTTTTTAACCTTCAGGACTTACCATTGGTTAGATATTTGTTAACTTCTAACTTTCTTTTGCTGATTGCATTTCATATCATGGCCATCTCAACTATGAAAGGGACAGTGTATGCTTGCTTTCAGTTGGCACATCCAGAGATCTTTTTCTATTGTTAAGTTGTAGCACCATCTCATTCTTTACCTTCTAATCAAGCTTTAGTACAGTAATTGTCTTGTTCTTGATGTGCTGCAGTTCTTTTGGCTTTTGGAGGACTAAAGATGTATTTGATGCTCCCAATGCATTCATTAAGTTCTTGTTTACTGAACATTACTGGAAAGTGTCTTTGCTACCTGGGGAACATGTTGACTTCTGATGTCTTCTGACAATCTTATAAACCACTTTCTTAATGTAGTTTTTATTTTACAGCCTAGCTTTCGTTAATAGGCTACACACGTAATTTATGGAAAAGAAGATGTAGATACTCTGTTGAGATCATGAGATTGTCCTCAAGTTCATTGCTTGCTTGTTAGCAGAAATTAACATTATTTGCTTAATCAATTTTACTTGCATCTGTTGACAGGTACTGCATATGGATAGGAATGGTTACTATGGGGGAGAGTCAACCTCACTCAATCTCATCCAGGCAAGAAACATTTGAATGTTTTAGTTCATAAACCACAACATTGCTTAGACTTGCTTGAATATGTCAATGACGTTGTTTCTCAAACATTCTCATCTTATGGAACTATGCTATGTTGAACATTTTAGCTGATAAAAAGATATGACTTAATTCTTCCCAAAGATGAAAATGGATGGTGTGGTTATTTGCTGTTCTAAAAGAGAAAAAAAGGACAGCTATAAGTTTCATAGTTGAAGACTACTTAAAAAATGATGGATAGGAGACCATTGGCTCAAATCTTATTTTTGTGTAAATTTACAAATTGAAATAAAAATTAACATCTTAAAATAATAAAGTAGTAGCTTTTTTCCATCTCCCTGTATTAACTAAGTTGTCTTTTCCTTTGACAGATCTGGAAAAGGTTCAGGGGTAGCGATAAGCCTCCAGCATATCTGGGGCCTAGCAGAGATTACAATGTTGACATGATTCCAAAGGTTTGTTCCTGGGTACCATTCATGTAAGCTTTCATCTCATAGATTACCATGTAGATAGGTTATTTTCATAAATTTTATATTGACAGTTATCTATGATCATAAATCATTATGTAGGTTGGTTCTGAAGGGTAATGGCAACCTATTAATTGCTTTAATCCTACTAATATGTTCCACAATCTGTCAGCCTTCTGTTTTGATGTCTTTCTTGAGTCTCTTTTATGGTAAAAACTTTATTACCTGGAAGGAACTTCTGCTATAAGGTTGTATGTTGAATTATGCTTGAGTTAAAAATCGATGGTGTTTAGAACATTGATTTTTTGAAAGTTCTTTCTGTTGGTGATCTGTAATGATTATCTGCTGCAAATTTATTCAAAATTAAATAATGTAATCAATATCTGAACTTTCCAAAGTTCTTTTTCAGTTGATGGAAACATTTGGTAGAAGCAATGGAATTGTTTTTGGTGCTTAAACCAACTCATAGATATATGCATGGTTGATTTTGTCGATCTTGAAAGTAACTTGTTAATCCTTATGTGGCTAGTTTATGATGGCTAATGGTACTTTGATGTGCACGCTTGTACACACCAATGTCACTAAATATCTTTCTTTCAAAACTGTGGATGGTAGCTACGTCTTTAACAAAGGAAAGGTATTACTCATCTTTGTTATTTTCTGCCATCATTAAGTTGTAATTTGTTGTATTTGATGGATTTTGACATTCAATATCTTCTGGTTTTTGAAAAAAAAAATGGAATAGATCCACAAGGTTCCTGCCACTGACATGGAGGCACTGAAGTCTTCATTAATGGGGCTGTTTGAGAAGCGTCGAGCTCGAAAATTCTTCATTTATGTCCAAAATTATGATGAAAGTGACCCAAAAACACATGAAGGATTGAACCTTTCGAGAGTGACTACAAGACAACTTATCTCGTGGGTATCCTTTATAGTTGATTTCGTTTATTATTTCCACGCTAGGAAGTTCATATGTGGTATTACATGTTGCTTTGTTCTTACAACAAAAGGGGTTTCAGGTGAGTTTTTCAAGTCATCTGTATTTGAGAATATATATCAAACAGCCGATGTCCATGACATAATTATAGTAGAAAATATAACATAGAACTTATTACGGTTGATTGAAATAATTCTAACAAAGGAATGAAATCCACTATTCACTATATTCAGGGAGAAAGTTTTCTATTAAATCATAGGTTGTATGGCAGTCAGACATTAAATCTAAAAGTATTTTGGAGAGGAAAGAAGCTTGCTACTAGTGGATAAAATGATATCTGTTGATGTCTTACAACCATGATCATCTCAGACTTCGTAAATAAAACTTAGTTAATGACACCTCTAAAGCCTTTTTGAAAAAGGAAGGTCTTGTTTTTCTTGAATCAGACATCTAAGAGTTTGTTTAGTCAGAGGGGGCTGGTTACTTTCATAGGCTTTGGGAGATCAATAACTATTAAATTGGTAGAATAATTTTGAATTAATTAGATTCTTAATATTTCTTTTTCCTTTTTCACTGTTCAAGATTATCCTGTTTGAAATGGATCTTCATGGGAAAGGGAATACAGGAAAAAAGTAATATGTACGTGCCTATTTGGTCCTGAGCATAACTTGCAAGTTTATGTCACTATTTGGCACATGAAGTATGATGCTGTAGCCAATACCTGAAACAAAGTCATAATTCAATTTGTATGTTAAAATATGTATTGTTTAAGAGAGTTAAATATGAATAACTAGACTCAAAGCCTTAACGTGTGCTCTTATCAAATTCTCTAAATCTGAAACATGATATTCTTGTCTTTCAATAATCTAGATTTGCTATCTGGATTATCCTTTTATTTATTTGTTCATAGAGATCCATGCTTCATTACTAGGTATAGAGATCTGTCTTTTTTTATACCTGATCTGATTGTTTGGAAAACCTTGTTGCAGTTATTTTGCTATTACTGTAACAATGCAACTAGTTACTTGGACTAGCTATTAATTTTTTCTTTACTTTTATTGGTCAGAAAATATGGTTTGAATGACAACACAACTGAGTTCATCGGCCATGCGTTGGCCCTTCATAGGGATGATCAATATCTAAATGAACCTGCTCTTGATACTGTGAAACGAATGAAGGTAAATGCTTCTTGCGGTTTTCATATTTCAAAGCAAGGTATGCAATACTGTACCGTACTGGTGTTTCGAGGTTGGCTCGGTACGATACAGTACAGTGTACCGGGCGATACGCTAGGGCGTATCGAGCGGTACACCTAATTTAGGTGTAAAACCCTCCGAAAATACCTAAAAATAAAAAAAAAAGTTAGGATAGAGTTTTTAAGTTAGAAATAAATATAGTAATAACATAAGTTTAGCAAAATCAATGTAAATTAGGTAAGAATAGTATCACATATCTTTTTCGGGCTTTGAAGAATATCTTGTGCAAGGTTCGTATTTTAGTCCATTACGAATCATCCTTATGTAAACATACCTCTTGATTAGAAAGTTCTTCCTCTTAATCTTTCCAAATTAACCTTGATTCAATTCACAAATCATTGTTTTGTAGAGTTTAGGAAAGCACAAATATGAGAAAAAAAGAGTTTGGGATAGTTTAAGAGAGTATGAAAATGTAATGGAGTGAAATAGGGGAGAAGAAGGGGTTTAAATACTATGAGAAAGGTTTTAAACATTTCTCACTGTTACCGAGCGGTTTTAAACATTTCTTCCTCTTACTGTAGCACGTTCCATCCGGTAGCGGGCGGTCCGCGTACCGGTATGCCGTCGGACCGATACGTACCGCCTGTACCGGGCGGTACTATTCGAAATTGTATACCATGTTTCAAAGTCCTTTGGAATTTAAATGCTATCCTCTTATGTACCTATTTTTTGAACGAAGCTATACTGAATGAATTAGTAAAAAGAATACAGAATGATCCATATTCAATCTTCCTCGACAAAATTATGCTGCTCTTCTTGAATTTCTTCATCATTCAGATTAAACATAGGTCAATCACCAGGTAGTGGAAAGTTTGCTTAAATTAACTCACAGATGTCACTGCACAATTTGTGGGTTTTCAAGGATACATGTATTACCAACAATGTAAGTCCTACTTCCAAATCTCAGTTTATTTAAACAAAAATAAACATTTTTATCAAAATACAGATAGATGCATCAAGAAGTTGCCCTGTAGCTGCTACTTTATGCTAACTGCTCTCTGCTTTTCATGGTGGATTTCCTTTCCATTTGATTCCTTCTCCATTTTTGTCTGGTGTGCACAAGTGCATATTTGGTTGTTGCCAAATGGAATGGTTTGTCTTCCTGGTCATTTGTATCGTTGTGATGTATTGCTGGTACTGATGTCGGTTTGTACATGTAATAGATGTATGCAGCATCCTTATCACGATTCCAAGGAGGCTCACCATACATATATCCTTTGTACGGATTAGGAGAGCTACCCCAGGTTAGTCATTCAATTTCTCAGTCTACAGTATTGGAAATTGTTCTTCTGATCCTCTTACTGGAATTACAGGCTTTTGCACGCCTTAGTGCTGCTTATGGTGGCACATACATGTTGAATAAACCAGAATGCAAGGTATCCTTTGGTGTTACTTTATTCTCATCACGGCTTCAAATTTTGGAGGCAAAAAATACTAGATTTTTGTTTTCATGATTCCTATAAGTTATTGCTTTGTCACAGTTGACATTGGTTGGCTTCATCCAGGTTGAATTTGATATGAGAGGAAAAGCTTATGGTGTGACATCCGAAGGAACAACTGCCCGATGCAAGAAAGTTGTCTGTGATCCTTCTTACTTACCAAACAAGGTAATTTGTTGCCTTGAAATGGAAACTATAATAACATACTTGATGGTAGATCACATGAACTTCCTTCTGTTCAAATCGAATCGAATTAATTTTAATTTAAAAAATATCAGCGCGATCGAGTTCGCTGTCTTAAGCCTCGAACCGGTTAATTAAATCGGCCCGAAAATCTAATTTGACCCAATTTCAATACCGTAATTTCACAAATTATGTGGATTCAATTTCATAAATCTTATCGTGTCGGTCCAACTGGATCATGATTTTGGTTCGGTTTAATTTGAAAAAAAATATATATATTTTTAAATTATTTAAAATTACAAAGTGGTTAACCGAATCGGATTAACTAGTTTTGAACTGGTTCAATTAGATAGGTCCGAACCGATTCCAGCAAGGACCTACCTTAGATTAATCAAACCAAACCGAAAATCGTTTTGGTTCGATTCAACCCTTAGCAGTTCTGTTCAAACCGGTCTGACCTGCTTCTTTGATGAATATTTGCTGAAAAACTGCTGTCAGTTTGATGATAAATTTGCTGGTAAGAGTTTCACAGTTCAATAACATCTTTCTCAGAGGATTTCAATTGAATAGGTAAGGAAGGTGGGGAAGGTTGCAAGGGCTATTGCTATTATGAGCCATCCGATACCGGATACCAACTGGTCTCACTCGGTTCAGATTATATTGCCGCAGAAGCAACTTGGACGCAAGTCTGACATGTGAGTCCTCAGAGAGCATATTAGTCTCTATGTTTTATTTTGAGATAAATTTTCCTTTTTATTTAATTCTATTATATTTCACGATGCTCATTTGTTGTGGCTCGACAGGTATCTCTTTTGTTGTTCTTACTTGCACAAAGTTGCCCCCAAAGGGAAGTTTATTGCCTTTGTCTCGACGGAGGCTGAGACTGATAGGCCAGAGGTGGAACTGAAGCCTGGAATTGATCTTCTTGGACCGGTAGATGAGTTATTCTTTGAAACTTATGATAGATACAAGCCTATCAACACACCCTCATCCGATCATTGCTACATCTCAACCGTAAGTATCCGTGATGCATTTTCTTAGCTCAAATTGGTTTACCTTTAACAAGTCCAAGCAATTGCAGAGTCATGATGCTACAACTCACTTTGAGTCAACTGTCATGGATGTGCTGTCCATGTACACCATGATCACTGGAAAGGTAATGATCTTGAAATGTTTTCTTAATTTAATATTTCCCAACACAGTCTTTGTTATGCAAGATTAATGTCTTCAGACCCAGCTGGGTCCTCCTGCCTGGGGCATGGTCAAAGTCTCATCAAAGGAAAGCCTCCTTAGAAATCGAATATTGACGACTCTAAATTGTTTTGATCAGGTTAAAAAATATCAATCAATCCAAAAGCTTAAGCCTCTAGACCACGAAACAATCTTTGTTCAATCGAAAGAATGACATGAATGCTGATACTTATGATAGTAAAGAAGAACTAGAAGAACCTTCATTCTTGTTTCCTTTTGCTTTTGCTTTTATGAGTTCCCAAATCCAATCCAAGTCCTGGTAGATATATTTTGTGATAATGATGATGCTGACCAAGTTCTGGCACCCTTCTTTTCTCCGCAGACAATTGATCTCAACATGGATCCAAGTGCTGCTGGTATTGCCATAGAATGACAACCACATGATGAATTTTTCTTGATCAAGCTCTGTAATTGCAGTAGATGATTGCCATAGTATGTATGGCATTCAAAACAATCTCGGTTGTATTATTAGTCTTTAAAATGCTTGGACTTTTCCTACTTGAATCTAGTCATCCTTAAATAATAATATGTCATCATATATTCTGTCTGTATTCTTCTGGTATTTTAATGTCATCATGCTCCTATTGGAGAGAGCGAAAGAAGACATCGAAACAAAAAAAAAATCTGAAAATTACCAACAAAAACATACTATTAGCCGACACAAGATTAAGTTTGACACTCCTTATTATATTTATATTTGTTAGTTTGGCAATTCCCATAGTCCCACATCGAAAAAATCAGGTTTTTATCTCCTATTGGAATTATAAATCAGGGTCTAGGCTTTGAAGTTAAAGGCACCACAAGAAAAATCTACGTGTTTGCTTTGGGTTTAAGTCCACACTCAGTTAAATAGTTTGGGCTTATAGTTTGGGTTTTTCTTGTTCAGTATTTCAGTATTTTCGGGTGTTTTATGGCCTAGGAACATCTTCCTAAAGCATTTGTAATAGTCCCTCTTTTATGGTAGTGATTTGCTCCTATTTCGTCCGTGGATGTAGGTCAAGGTTACCGAACCACATAAATCTGGTGTTCTTATCGCTTTTATCTTTTCACTTTATTATCTTTGTTGGGTTGCCAAAATTACCCTTTGGTAAATTTCCTAGGGCTAGCTCTAACAAACTGGTATCAGAGCCTGGTTTCGGGATCTTTTGGCAACGATGATAATAACAAAGATTGTTGTCGAGAAATTCGACAGAAATGTCAACTTCGACATGTGGCAACTAAAGATGGAGGTCATTCTGATTCAAGACGGAGTTGATTTGGCACTACAGGGGGCTGAGAACATTCCAGATGGTACGTCAAAGGAAGATTTTGCAGGTATGGATAAGAAGGCCCGATCCAGCATTATTCTAAATCTCTCTGACGAGGTTTTTCAGGAGGTAGCTACGGAGACTACGGCTAAAAGCATGTGGGACAAGCTTAAAGCCTTGTATACGAAGAGAACAGTAGAGAATCGTCTCTACTTAAAGCAGAGTTTGTATATGCTTCGGATGACTGAAGGTACATCTATACTCTCACATCTTGATAAATTTGATTCCTTGGTTATGGATTTAGAGAATATAGATGCAAAAATTGATGATGAGGATAAGGCCCTATTACTTTTGTGTTCTCTTCCCCAATCTTTTAAGCATTTCCGTGATACTATGATTTATGGAAAATAAATAATTTTATATCAGAAAATTAAATCTGCACTAAAATCTAAAGAGCAGATAGACAGGGATATCACTGGGGAAAGTAGAGAGAATAAGGCTGAAGGTCTGGTTATTAGTGGGAGAACAGATAAAAAGAAAATTGACAGTAGTAGATCTAAATGTAGATCTAAATCTAGACATAGAAATTTGGAATACAAATATTGTCATAAAATAGGACACATTAAGGCTGATTGCTTTAAATTGAAAAATAAATTAAAGCAAAAGGAAAAAATTATTGAGAAAACTTCTGAGTCTGCTAAAGCTAGTGTAGTAGCTGATGAGAATGGTGGAAATATTTTCTTTGCTACTGATGACAGGACGAGGTCTAAAAATGAATGGATTTTAGATTCGGGTTGTTCTTATCACATGTGTCCTAATAGATATTTGTTTTCCACGTATGAATCTTGTAATGGTGGAATTATTTTGATGGGCAATAATACAGCATGTGATGTTTTTGGTAGAGGAACAATCCGAATTAAAATGTATGATGGTATTGTGAGGACGCTCACTAATATTAGACATGTTCCTGATTTAAAAAAGAATCTCATCTCTTTAGGCACCCTAGAGGCCCTTGGGTGTAAATACACAACTGAATGTGGAGTTATGAAAGTTTTTAGAAGTGCTCTTGTTGTTATGAAAGCTTGTAGGTCTAGTATCTTGTATATTTTGCAGGGAACTACTATCACATGCTCAGTTGTAGTCTCGTCATCATCATTGTCTGATTCTGACATCACCAAATTATGGCATATGCGTTTGGGTCATATGAGTGAAAAAGGTTTGAGCATATTGAGCAAAAGAGGTCTACTTTGCGGGCAGAGTACTGGGCCACTGGATTTTTATGAACACTGCATTTTTGGAAAGCAGAAAAGAGTCAGCTTCAATTCTGCGGCAGTTCACAAAACGAAAGGTACTCTTGACTATATTCATTCAGACCTTTGGGGTCCAGCTCATGTTCAGTCTAAGGGTGGTGCTAGGTATATGTTGACTTTCATTGACGATTATTCCAAGAAAGTTTGGGTTTATTTTTTGAAGCATAAAAATAATATTTTTCTAACCTTTAAACAATGGAAGGCTTTGATTGAGAAGCAAACAAGTAAACAGATTAATCAGCTTTGAATAGATAATGGCATGGAATTTTGTGAATGTGACTTTGATGAATTCTACAAAAATGAAGGAATCGTTCGGCATTGCACTATTAGGATGACGCCTCAACAAAATGGTGTGGTCGAATGTATGAACAGAACACTCTTGGAGAGAGCAATGTGTATGATCTCAAATACAGGGTTGAAAAAGGACTTTTGGGCAGAGGCGATTAATATGGCCTATTACTGTAATATCCCATTAGTCCC